GTGACTTACTTCATGTGGCATATATGGGGGGGAAAAATCTCTAACTGCTTTTATAGAAGAAAGAGTTCATATTACTCTTCGACGAGCACCATTGGGCCAAACATTTTATCATGAATCTAGCATTGCCTATAAAATCTCTATTTGCTATACCTCTCACATATATTTTGATTCATAAACCATAAAATGGCCAGTTAACTAGGGGGTCAAATTAATGTTCCTCTTGTGTGTTAGTGTGTTAATTAGTTTACGCTGAATGAGAGACTTTTTTCTTTTTATACCCTGTGGTAGAGATTTCAAGTGAGGGTGAACACCAGCTTTTCCTGCAATATTCCCCTTCAGTTCAGAGATTTCTCCTGTAATACTTTTTTCCTGCCCCTACATTTCTTCAGGCTGATGACCACCATCATTCAACTCACTTCCTCTGAGCCCAGGTGTCTTGGGCCCAATCCAGTCTGTGACTGGACAGTAAAAGGAGAAAACAATGATGAGCTCATTTCTCCTTTACTCTGCTCTCTCCTCCTATAAGCACATGAACTGATTGGCTTCTTGTGCTGTTTCTTCTGCTCACACTACAGACCTGCTATGCAAGGACTGCAAGAAGCTGATATAAGGTCAAATTCAAGTACCTAAACTGTTTGCATTTAAAAGTACATTTAGGGCCCATTTAGATGCTAACCATGAGCATAAAAACACATTGATGCACATAAGCCCTGGCTCACACCTAGGCGGCACTGTTTTTGTTCGCGCGTCAGCAGCATGCAGTTATTTGCACGTTTATGCGCGTTGGGCACAAACGCATGTACATGAAGACGCGTGTTTTGATTGGCAGCTCATAAACCACTGTGGGCAATGGAAGGACACATATAAACGTTGTGCCGCCCCAATAGGGGCATAGAATATGAGATGCATAGCCTCAGTTAATATTAGCATTGTTATATAGATTAGAATTTATATAGTGTGATTTGCCTAACTATTTTCTCATAGCTAAATTCATGTGTTATCCTATGCTGCCATCTAGTGGCCTTTTGTTGTAACAAACATGTTTTCTGTAATTATTCCTCATGTGACGATGTATTTCCCCCCAGTGTACGCCCCTTCCTTCTTCCTGTGTGCAGTACTTCCTGTGTCATGGCCACAGTTAAGAGCCACATGTAACAAGGACACACATGTGATCTGCACAGTACGTAGGAAAGGCATCATTTTCTGACCGCACAATACTATAACCATTCATCTGCTGTTCCTATCATCTGCTGTAATCCTGATGTTAAGAATAAACACCTTTTGAATGAATCGGTATTGACGAGTTCAGCTATCTGACGAGGATTGTCCGCAGTGAGTATATCTGCTTATACAGGCCAGGCATAGAGGTCTCAGCAAGGGATATATTTCGCTATCACAACGATCGGAGTCAGAATAAACGTGAAAAAACGCTCACGGAAATGTGCAACATGCTTCTGTTGTGCGTTTTTGGGCATTTACAATGAAGTCTATAGGAAGGAAAAGCTCTTTTAACTGCCCAAAGAATCTCCTGCATCTTTTCAGGCGTCCAGCATTTTTCTGCTCAGGTGTGAACCAGGGCCATTGAAAATCATGTGATTTCTTGTGTTGGGCAATTAAAAGCGCCTTTTGAACTGCTCAAAAACTCCTTGGTGTGAACCAGGGCTTAAAAAGTAAATGGGCCCTCAGTAACTTTTACTGTAGATTACAGAGTTTAACTTTAAGAAGCAGGTGAAGATCAGGAAGTGGGCTTATGCTCAACAGTTAGGATTACTTCTTAGGATCTGCCGTAATGAGTTAGTGCAGTGCTACTTTTTTATTTTTATTTTATTGAAACAATAGTATTAGTGATAAAAAAAATGGTGTTTAAAGGAATAGTTCACCCAAAATGTATTTCAGTTTTGCTAAATGCTGGAAAGCTAAACTATCTAAAAGTATTTCTGGTCTTTTGGTGACTCCTTTGGCAAAACATGTGTTCTTGACTGGCTTTACCTTTTATGAGGGAACCCCTACTTTCCCTGGTGTGCATATCCATTCATGGCCCAGAATATTGGCACCCTGCATTTCTGTCAGATAGTGCACCACTTTGCGCAGAAAATTGTTGCAATTACAAATGTTTAGGCATTCTCATGTTTATTTATTTTGTTTGTATTTGTATGACACAAAAATGTGGAGAACAAAAAACCAAATCTGACATTCCATGCAAAACTCAAAAATGGACTGGACAAAATTTATTGAGAGAGAGACTGACTCTGCCACAGCGCAAACAGCCACATGAACACTGCTTTCACTTCTATGAATTATGTTTCTGGTTTTAGCCTGTGCTGGGTGGAAGTATGGGAGACCATGGGTACCAGAGTAGCTGCAGGCTTTTCTCTTTCATATCAGCTCCGCAGCCTCCATCTGTGTCTGCTCCATGCTCACCTTCCTCCCGCAGAGCCCAGGACCCTTGCAAGTCATCCTGCAGTTTCCCCTCTTGAGTGCAGCAGTGGAATGACCAGCAGCTGAGGACTCAGTCTCTGAGGACAAGAAACTGAGCTCGGGACCAGTGCAATAGGAAGCCCCAAACTTAGGATTTGAGGGGGAGGAAATTGGTGAACTTCTGTTCACAGATTTCTGCTGCACACAGAACCTGCAAGTGCTCAGCAATGCTCGAAGACTGTGTCTGTCCCTAATTTGTATCTAATGGACACTGAGGAGGCATAAGGGGATCTAATATAATGATGTCTCTAGAGAAAAAAATTTGACAAGTGATAAAAATGTATTCTATACTAAACTGTCCCCCACACGTTCCACTCCTTTTCACCCAATGTCTTAAACACACTCTCTGAAATCCTCTTCTGTACAAACTGCCCTCCATCATACCCTCATCTTTCCACTCCGTCATATACTGCCTGCCCCTATACCTTCCACGGTCCCCTTCTATCAATATTGTCCAGAGTCATGCCTTCTACCACTCTTCCCCAGCACATACAGCTTACTGTCATATCCTCCACACTCCTCACCTGCTCATACTGCTCACCATCCTACCCTCCACACCCCTCCCTTGTACATACTGCTCACCATCCTACCCTCCACATTCATATTGCCTGCCATCATACATTTTGTACTCCAGTCATGTACATACTGCTTGCTGTCATCACCTCTAGCACTCCACTTCTGCACATACTACCTTCTCCCATACCCTCCACACTCGCCTGCACATAATAGCCTTAGGCATACCCTCCACACCCCTTTCCTGAACATTCTACCTTCTGTCATACCCTCCACACTCCTCTTCTGCATATATTGCTAGCTGTCATACTCTCTACACTCCTCCCCTGCGCTTACTCCCTGCTGTCATACCCTCTGCACTTCTTTCCTGCACAAACTGCCCGCTGCCATACCCTCCACACTCTTTGATTAAATTGTACTGCTTGTATAAAAGGAACGATTCCTCCTTTCATCATGAGCAGTTTCACATAAAAGTGACTAATTATTTAACTATGACTGGCAGCTCTGAACATTGTGTTCTTTTTGCCTCGCTTACTATGTTTTCTGAGAATCTAGTTACAAAGAAAGCAAGTATTCCTTACAATCTGCTATAAATACTAGTCGAGGAATGAAAGCAAGGCTTATGTTCTATGCAGAGCAGTAGCAAAATTGTTTGCATAAAAAAACTCCATGTAATTCTATGGGGTCGAGTTTGCCATCATGAATAGAATGATTAATATTTTGTTAATCCCTAACTTGTTTTGTATGTAGCCCTATTCTGGAGCCTTGACTTCAACTTTAAAGCTGAATTAGGTGAAAATACTCACTTACTGGGTATTTCTTTTTTTTAACCCTCAGTATCTCAAAGTAGGCAAAAATAAAAACAAAGTTGTAATATACAGTATAACTATATATGCATATTAAGCAGATAATTGCTAAAATAGACACCATTTTTATGTCAGAATAGGAAAACATATATTTCAAGTTATGCATTTAGTTTTGTGGGCGATATGCAAATACTTTCTACATGTGAAAAAAGAAAGTGAGCTGAAAACAATGTCTTGTGCTAAATAATGTTAAATATTTCTTCTAGTTTATCTGCTTTTAAATCTGCTACTAGATATGTGGATGCATGTACATTGCTTTTCTGCTGTGTTATTTCCTTCAGTATTATGAGTCATTAATGTGAACTATACCTTCCTGATTAGACTATTTCTGGGCACTTTTCAGCAAAAAAAATGGGCTGAAAATCTCGGCTTATACTCGAGTATATACGGTACAGATTTTTTTTGTATTAATACAAAAAAACTGTGTATAAATAATGTCCTGAAGGTTTTGGGAAAAACGAGTACAGTATCATGTTAATAGAACAGGTAAAGTTGGGTGATTTTTTTTTTTGGTACTGTCGTGTACAGTAAACTCCCCATTATTCGGCATTCAAGCAACCGGCACTCTCAAGCAACTGGCAAAAACAATAAATAAATATATTTAGTTGCTAATAAAATTATTTGTACCACCAAGCAGAGTAGCGGACCTAAAAGATAGCTTTCTCTCTCAGGTCCGTTCCTCTGCTCAGTTGGTGGGGTTTCAATAGCCAGCCTGCTATTGGCTATTTCAAATTGCAATAGCAGGTTGGCTATTGAAGCCCCGCCCACTGAGCAGAGGAGGATAATTTTGTCTCTCGGGGCCATTTCTCTGCTCAGTGCTCCCAGCATCTTACATTCACCTGTCGGCTGCAGAAGCTAGCCGGCAGGTGAATGGGGCTGCGGGGGAAGTGGGACACCACAGAGGGGTGGTTGCTTGACAGTTCCCATTAACTCTGAAGCAACCAGAAACTACAGTTATTAAGTGGGAGTTTACTGTATATGGAAATTTGGAGATTGTGCTGCAAATTTATTTTAAAAAGTAAATAAAGATCATGGTTTCAAAGTTAATGTTAACCCATTCTAAATGCCATCACAGTGGATGCTTGCATATGTTCTTTTGTAACGGATTTATAATTATAACTTATAATTATGTTCAATTTCCAGGCAGCCTACCCTACAGGCGGTCCTACCCTTCGACCTGAGGATGAACTGGATAGACTCACTAAGAAGATGCTATTTGATATGGAGAATCCTCCTTCTGAAGAGTATTTTGGTAAGCACACACTTGATTTAGAATTACAAAGACTGGGATATTTTGCATTTACACAATAATTGCTACTTGAAACAGGACTGACAAACTCCTTAAAGCCAGGTAGCCAATGAACCTGAACTATTCCGTTATATTCTAAAAATGTCATGGTCCCTGAGCACAGCACCTTCATGTTGCTAATAGGAAATCCAGCCCTTCTACTTTTATAAGAAGCACTTGCATGGCAAGTCAATGTGACTGCCATCTTTGTTGAGCCTGCTCAAATGAACTGATTCAGACATATATACAACATCCTTTATGTAAACTGGTGTTCAATACTGAACTGTGTTGCGGGGGTGTGAGAGAGTTGCTGTGAAAGGAGTGTCGGGTAAGGGGGAGGTTCTATGGGGGGGATGTTTGTGTCCAGGGTGGATGTCGGCAGGATGTATGTGCTGTCATTGGAGGGTGAAATAGGTGGCAAGAAAGCACTGTGAGGGGAAGGGAGGAAAGTAAGATCAGATAAGAGGTTCTGTGAGCAGCTCATCACACTGAGCTGCTCATAACGCCTCTCACCCAAATTTAAAGGGATGGGAAGTAGCAGTTTGGGTTGGGGGTGTGATGAAATACAGCATTGGATCAGGGGTGACGCATGGGGGACAGCAGTGTCAAATAGGTGGTGAGAAGCAGGGGACAGCAGTGTCTGCTGAATGGAAAGTCTGGAGCAGATGCCCATGGCATTGGATGGGGATGAGAAACCTGAGACAGCCAACAGTCAGATGGGATGGTGTGCAGCAGGAAACAGCATGTTGGATGGGGATGAGGAACAGGGAACAGCAGAGTCAGATTACCTTGTGTGTGTGCAGATACACATTTACACAGGCATTCTTCAACGTCACCCTCACTGCCTCTTCTCCTTCTGCTCATTTACATGCTGAATCATCTGCTGTGCTTCTAGGGAAAGGGAAGTTGAAGACACCTGACCCCCAACTTACCTCAATACCAAGCAGCGAACTGTGGGCTTTCTTATCTGCTGGTCTTTTGTGTCAGCCATAACTCTCCCACCAACTGTGTCTGCTGGTGTCTTCTGACACACACGGAGTATTTCGCCCTCCTGACAGCAGAGATTTTGCTAGCGCAGAAATCTTAAGGTTCCCGGCCGTTCTGCTGCTGCTGCAGATCTGGCAGCCCAATCGCTATTGGGGCAGTGGGCAAAAGTGCTAATGTTAGCAACAGTGAGTGGGGAAGCTGCTGAATATTTTTAGAAAAGTGTTTGGGTCCCCCCATACCTAACCCTGGGATCTGGCTCTTGACCAGGTAGCTTGGTGTAACAGGGCTTTGGCTGGTGGGGGTGCAACAGTGGAGCTGGAGGAAGTCTTGCTGTTTCTTCTGGCTGTGGGGAAGTGCATTACGTACTTAACAGGTTTTTTTTTTGCTGGTGAACAAAAACAGATTGACAGTTTTAGGTGTGCCTCTGTTTCTGTTCCCCTGTGGCAAAACAGAAGTAGGATATTTCATTCATATAATTTAAGAGGGTGGACAAAGCACGTTTGTTTTGTGTTTAAGATCATGCATGTCATCTGCATTTGAAACATTGATGTCCCTAAAGTCATAGAATGCTGTAGATTAAGTAGGTCAGCATGTCGAAGCATTCATTTCATGTTCAGGAATTGCTAAATGTGCTTAGAAAATAATATTTTCTAAGTGAACAGATATCAAGCTTTTAGAAAAATACACTTTCATCCAGGCAGGTAGAAAATTGCCATGTCTGTTCAAAATATTACATACAATTTACAATTTGATGTCATGTTGCCTACCTAAAGCTAACCTGTCGGCCATTTTAAAGTTTTAATAACAAAAGCCCTCAGAGCAGGTGAATGAGGGCACCTTCTACAACTTTTGCTAGCTAGAAAAGGCTCTTCTTTGTGCCCATGAAACTTTGTGACTAAGGGCTTGACTTCTCTGACTTTGAGATAACGCCCAAAATATGTCAACACACTATATTGCCAAAAGTATTGGGAAAAAGTATTGGGACACCACTCCAAAGCATTGGGTTCAGGTGTTCTGTGACATTTCCTTGCTACTAAATATTCCACGGTCAACTGTTAGTGGTATTATAAGAAAGTGGAAGCAACTGGGAACAACAGCAACTGAGCCACAAAGTGGTAGGGCATGTAAAATGACAGAGCAGGGTCAGCATATGCTGAAGTGCACAGTGCGCAGAAGTCGCCAATTGTCTGCAGAGTCAATAGCTACAGACCTCCAAACTTCATGTGGCCTTCAGATTGGCACAAGAACAGTGCATAGAGAGCTTCATGGAATGGATTTCCATGGCCGAGCAGCTGCATCCAAGCCTAATATCACCAAGTGCAATGCAAAGTGTCGGATGCAGTGGTGTAAAGCACACCGCCACTGGACTCTAGAGAAGTGGAGATGTGTTCTCTGGAGTGACGAATCACACTTCTCTGTCTGGCAATCCGATGGATGTGTCTGGGTTTGACGGTTGCCAGGAGAACGGTACTTGCCTGACTGCATTGTGCCAAGTGTAAAGTTTGGTGGAGGGGGGATTATGGTGTGGGGCTTTTTCTTAGGGGTTGGGCTTAGCCCCTTAGATCCAGTGATGGGAACTCTTAAGGCATCAGCATACCAAGCCATTTTGGACAATTTAATGCTCCCAACTTTGTGGGAACATTTTGGGGATGGCCCCTTCCTGTTCCAACATGACTGCACACCAGTGTACAAAGCAAGGTCCATAAAGACATGGACGAGCGAGTTTGGGGTGGAGGAGCTTGACTGGCCTGCACAGAGTCCTGACCTCAACCCGATAGAACACTTTTGGGATGTATTAGAGGGGAGACTGCGAGCCAGGCCTTCTTGTCCAACATCAGTACCTGACCTCACAAATGCGCTTCTGGAAGAATGGTCAACCATTCCCATAGACACACTCTAATATTGAACCGTGCGGACTAAGACTGGGATGCCACTAAAGTTCATGTGCGTGTAAAGGCAGGTGTCCCAATACTTTTGGTAATATAGTGTGTGTCATATATATTTAGATATGAGCCAATGAGCCAAATAAGGGGTTGCAGCACACTAGCGCTGCTTCAATTGAGACTTAATATGCTGCTACAAAGCCATAATACAGATTCTAATCATACTGAGTAAGCACACAACAGAGATATGTGTAGGAAAAGGGAAGTAAATACTTAGCTGCTAGCTGATGGAGGAACACTGACACACCACTGCCTGACAGATTAGCTTGCCTACCAGCACTTCATGGGGGGGAACACCTCCGTTCCCCTTATCTCAAGTAGTGTTGTGGCAGAATCTCTATGTACCTCAATCTGAAAACTTACTATGACCAGTTTACTTGTGAATAGCGTTTAGTGTCATGTTGGCTATAAAATTAGTTTTTCCTAATTGGGTTTCTAAAGGGTTCTTTGCCCCTGCTTTGTGGAACAGACTTTCACCATATAAGCATGTGACTTCATTATATATTTGTGTGTGTGTAGCTTGAAATTGGTTGAGAAATTATATTGGTTTTCCTGCTATCCATGAGCCCCATAACTAGGAACTTTTCTGTTGTCCAGACCTGGATATAATGGTAGACCACCAGATCACTGCATGCACACCATAGCAGTACTGCTCATTCGATAAAGTAATGCATCCCTTTCCCAATCCTTGTTTCTGGGCCATAGCAACTGCCTGGTGTATTGTGTATAATTTCCACATGCTACTTGTGAACATGCTACTTTGATGTTCCATGATATAGGTTAGGTGACCGCATGTTAATTATTCCAAGAATGTCAGAATTGTTAGATTTCACATTCGCTTCCGTCAGTTACCATGAATGTGAACATGCTACTTGGATGTTCCATGATACAGGTTAGGTGACAGCATGTTAATTATTCCAAGAATGTCAGAATTGTTAGATTTCACATTTGTTTCCTTCAGTTACCATGAATGTAGTAGATCTAGAAAAGTAATGTTAAACCCCCTCAAGCGCCATTGTGAACTTAAGTCATTTCTGTCATTAAAGCAAATTGTTCTATCACTTGTAATGCTAATCATTTCCTCCAGCTTTATGTATCAAACCTTTTTATTTTCTTCTTAACACTGTCTGTGTCGTTGCCAATTTATCGTCTTTGCGTTCTTATCTCCTATTCATCCATTTCATTTAGTATGGAGCCGACAGCTTATCCACTGTTATTATGGCCCATTGATCAAGTAATTGGAAAAGGGCAAATAGTCAGCGGCAGCGCCTGTGATTTGCATGAAATATTCCCAGCCCTGGGTGCATGTAGCATGGTAATTGCTGCATCCACATAGCTGTCAGCTAATAACTATATTAGTCAGAATATGGAAAGCCGGATCTTAGCATATTAAAAGTTCTATTGGCGCAGATAGGCTTTGAATAGGGGATTTAATTAAACATGCTAGCAGGCTCCCAGGCTTTATGGGAAGTCAACGAGAAAATGTTTACTGCTAATTAAATATAAGACTTTTGGGTTAAATGAGGTCATTGTCCTTGAGTGTTACCCCTCCGTCTTATTCTGTGGTAAAAAAAACAAGAAGAACATTTTCAATATGACTTGTTAGATAAGTCTGTTGTTATTACTGAATTTTATATGCTCTGTGCCATTCTTGAGGAGCATGTCAAAGGAAAACTAAATGCAAAGAGAAACAGCTACATTAGCTCAATTTTGATACTTCTTGAGATTATATATATATATATTTAAATATTTTCAAAAGTCCCTTCTATGCATAGTTTCCTGTCATCATTCTGTCTACTAAGGTCCCATCTTGGTTTGCACAACAGCCAAAAAATCATATTAGGATGCGAGAGACCCTCCACTGTCTTCTGAATTTCAAAAAATAACAGAGTGGAGTAGATTAATATAAGAATAATATCACCCAGACAATTTGACGAACAGAAGAGGAAAATATTATAGTTAGGTAGTAGTGATTTTGTTTTACCTTTTACTGAGTTGTATTTTTTTTTTACAATCTTTACAAGTATGTGTTCTATTGTCTTTACTTCTGCTGCAAATTTTTGTTTTTCCCATCTCCTCATCTAATTATGTCCTTGACTAAACTGCAGCTTGCTAATGAAACCTTTTACTATGTACTTGTAAGGAATCTGGCTGTTGCCTGTATATCTTCTTGCAGCAGAGCATAAGGTCCACACACACTGCATGTGTGTTTTCCTCTAGTGTCGGGTAGAGTGTTATAATTGATACATAATAAGCATAGGCTGGGTGGCACATAGAGCGAGACACCAAGGCTAGGAGGTACACAGATCGATATGCCTAATCGCTTCTGTACAGCAATTGGCAGTACAATATGCAATAGTTGGGGTGCATTTGCCCAACATGCAGCAGTCTATGTCTAACATCATGGGAAATGTCATAGGTATCAAAAGCTTGTGTAAACATTGCTTTTTATTACTGATTTTTTTAAGAAAACATGTTTGGCCCTATTGGAAATTTTTGTCCAAAAACAACCAAACCCTATGAGGGGAATATATCAAAACTGGAGCAGCTGAAAACTGGAGCAGCTGCGTATGGCAATCAATCAGCTTCTCTTGTCAGTCTGTTCAGTTAAGATTTAAAAATTAAAGAGAGAAGCTGATTGGTTGCCATGCACAGCTTCTCCAGTTTTTGTCTGCTCCAGTTTTGATAAATTCTTCACTGTATATTTAAGGAACTTTTCTTAGCAACGGTATTTTTATATAAACTGTCCCCTTAACAAATACCCACTGCAGTTTAAGAAAAACTGCAACCATCTGTGTAGAAATTACATTTTGGGATCCTAATGGCTCTAACAGAAACCAAGGAATCAAAACATTAGAGGAAGCTTTTGGTATTGTTCAAATAATTTTAGGGCCTTTGATGGCAGACATGCAGTCAACAAAGCCTCGGGAACACAAAAGTTTGATGACACTTTGACAAGAGCAGTTGACAATATTCAGGTTACTTGTGAGGGCAGTAACAAGCTGGGAGTTGTAAAGAGAACTTGAACTTTGGATACTGTGCCGATAAAAAGGCAAGCAGAGTCAAATGGCACTAGTCCTCAGTATCGCCCGCAAGGCCCATACAGCTTATCTTTTTCCTATTGCCACCCTGCCATGCCTTTTTCCAAAGTAAGTTTTCATGTAGAGGTGGCCATCTTGTATGAGGCAGGATGTTCCTTACTTATGTCAGATCTTATGTCAGTCATCAGACCCTGGTGATCTGATGACTGATAGAGAAATAATGAAGCAGCAAAGAGGAGGAGAGGTTCAAAAAGCACAGATTCACAATATAAATGAAGCAGAAGAATGGAGATCCTAGCAGTGCAGGCTCTTATGTACATATTTTCTCTATCAACAAGAACCATGCACAGCACAGTAGTGACATCACCAAATTTTATGAGACTGGCAGTTTAGTTCCACTGTAATAAGATATACTAGCTAACTGAGCGATTTTATATTCACAGCATAGTAACAAGTTACATGAGCTTACGTCTTGCTTATGTAAATATGGGCCTGTGCAGTTATTTGGTAATGCAATAACAAATTTCTGATTAAATAAGAGCTGCTAGCAAGCTTTTTAAATATAAAGCCTAATTTTCAGTGTGCAGTTACAACATTATTGACGCAAGCGCTGTAACCATTTGAATTAAATTTGTCTCATTCCAAGGGTTTAAGAAGAATCTAATCTTTGTGCAAGACGTTTGTTTTTATGGGTCTTTCCCTCTTGTGTTCTACTGAATAACATTAAAAAGTTCATTGTGTAAACTTTGAAATAAAAGCATGTGACATATGTCAAAAATCTCTGACTGTGCTGAAAAAAAAGGTTAGCTTTACATTTATAGATTTGATAATGTAAGGCAAGGTGGTATTTGTAAGTATAAATTGTTACTTTTTCTTGTTCATCATATGCATGTACAGGCACGGGTGTCAGTGTTGTCATCCACTTAGTAGTGGCCAACTCAGGTAATTGTAAATATGGCAATATTGTTTTTTTTTATTTTTTTGAATCTTTTATTTTTTGGAAATGGAGAATGTTATAATAAATATAATGCAGAGTAGAAGTAATAAATATAGCTGATAGGTTGAAGTTAAACATGAACTTCAAGTTTTCTTCCCAACCCTAGTATACTTTTTGTTTTGTTTTAAGGTCGCTGTGCTCGATGTGGAGAAAATGTCGTAGGAGAGGGTACTGGATGTACTGCCATGGACCAAGTGTTCCACGTAGATTGTTTCACCTGCATAACCTGCAACAGCAAACTGCGTGGGCATCCTTTTTATGCCGTGGAGAAGAAGGCATTTTGTGAGCCTTGCTACATTGTAAGTACTTATCTCTACCTACTTTATTACATGACTGCTACTCTCAACATATTCTTCAACATAAAGCATCAACAAATCCAAGTTTCAGTAAATTATGTTTTCTTCTGTTCGGAGGTATGTTCAACATGTCTTCACAGGAGAGCTCCGAGTTATGCTGCTGTCTAAGGAACAAATAGTTTTGTTTTTTTCTTTCACTTTCTCACATTGTCAGAAGTAAATTTATTGCAGAGCCAGTTTGCTCTTGATGTTATCCATTTTCTGCTTGCTTTGGATGACCTTCAGTGCTTCTCCACTGTGACAGCTCTACATTATTTTAGGGTTCCAACATAGTCATTTCATTAGACCAAGTAAATTCTTGGCAACTGCAAACAGCAGGCTTGTTGTGCTGTAGGAAAACAATATAAGATTAAATTCCTTTTTAAATTCACGTCATCACTAGTGCCCAAGTTAAGTCAGCATTTCAAAGTGAACTGCGGGAATACATTCCAAAACGGAGGCGCACAAATTGCTGGATTATGTTAACGCTGGATGGAAATGCATATATGAATGACTGTAAATATATACTGCCCAATAGTGTTCTATTTGTAATGATTCAATTACATTTTTGTCCCTGATCCCTGCTAGCAGACCCCTCAAATGTCAGGTCCTTTCTGTTGTTATTAGATAAAGATCTCATAATAATAATTAGAGATGCACCAATACCAGTATTTGGTATCGGGTACTGATATTTTTTTTCCGGTACTCGCCGATACCGAGTACCGGAAGTCCCATTCAGGAAGCCAGGTGGCGTGTAATGACTCGCCACTTGGCTTTCTGATTAGCCGGGCAGCGTATAAAGACTCGCCACCAGGCTTCGCGATTAGCAGGGAAGCCACCTCATGCTTCTCGTCACTGGGTGACGAGGAAGCATGAAGCCAGCTTCTCGACCAATCAGAAAGCCAGGCAGTGCCTCATTACACGTTGCCCAGCTTCCTGATTGGCCGGGAAGCCGGCTCCATGCTCTCTCGTCACTTGTGTAATGATGTGCTGCCCGGCTTCCTGATACCGGAAGTATAGGGCTAGGCATTGGAGCATTTGGGTGAGTACGAGTACTCGGCAATGGCACCGATACTAATATCAGTGCATCCCTAATAATTGGGGAATATTTCATACTATTATTTCAATTAAGGAGATTGCCACGGTTAAAGGGACGGCTTGCTGTATCTCCAAGCAGGGTGCACAGCTATGCAAACTGGCCGTGCCAGCACGTATCTGTTTCTGTGCTTGTCGTGGTCAAATTGATATAGGGAAGCAGGGGAACTGGCAGGATCACCAGGTATTTCACATGAAAGGAATACAAAAATAAGCAGGATTTACCAACTTTTATATGAAAACACAGACAAGTATACTTAATACTAATTTTAGGGGTTACATTCACTTTAAATCACCAATTGCTTTACTCTAATTCTAACCACTTCATTTTTTAATGCTGTGCGTATTGCTATTTGACCTCATTCTCTGGTTTTATGTTGATACCCTCGTCATGCTATATTTCATACTATATCAATCCTGTCACTTTAGCACTTTGCAGGTTACTTGTATAATTAAAACTTACAAAAATAGCATTTAATATTGCTGCCTTTGACATACTTACTGTTTATGTATTTTCTGAGTAAAGGGCATTGCAGTTATCTTTCACCTTTGACACTTCTGTAAGTGTCAGAGGCTCTCTCAACAAGGCAGCAGGAAGCTGTCGCCTCCCTCTCCCCCGCCTGAGCCTTGACCTCACCAGCTGACCACAGCCTCGGAAGCCTCACTCTATAATGACAGTGTCAAATAAGCAGAGATTTTTCAGTAGATTCTCCACTCACCACTGTCACGGCAGTGCAGAGACTCTTCCACATACAGCTTCCAGCACTCTGTAATGAGAAGAGATTCCAATGCTCTGCACGGGCAAAGAAAGCTTACGCTAAGGGGATGGTCTTACTGTGGTGACTTTTTCAATAAAGTGCTACCAGAAAATAAATACGCTAACAGTGTGATGGTTCCAGCTCAACACCGCAGCCTTCACATCGCACATCATATATGGTTCCTCAATGTCTTCATTACCAAAGAAAAGAGGGAAGCTGTGCAACTCCATCATAAAGAAGAACTCCGCAAAATGTTTACTAACCCTAGCAGTGGGGCTACCCCTGCAAGTGTTAATAAAAATAATTACGAATCGTAACTTAAATGAAATGACTTTCATTTTAACTTTGTATTTAGTGTCCTTTTTAATTACTTTTAGCACATTTAGATTTTCAAGTACCTGGCACATAAAAATGGGAATAATACAAGTACAGTCCACTTCTGATAAAAGTGCAAACTGAAGCCAGTTGTCGAGTTTCCAAAGACAGCATTATGAAAAGATGAGTACAAGGTTAAAATGATGCTCTATTTGGCTGTGAGGAAGTTTTTTTTTTTTTTTTAACAGTTCTCTAGCTCAATCATATAGTTTGGATCTCCTACAACTATATGAAATAAAATGTCTGTGCAATCTGTAACAAGCAAGTCTTAGTGGAACTATTAAAAACATTGCTTTTTTGGGGGGTATTAAAAGCTTTGTGGGGTAGGTTAGTGGCAAGTGTCTGAATATGGTGCTGAGCTACACTACCAAACACTGCCTATTATTGTTTGTCTGCCTGCAGTGCGGAGTGCTGCCTTTCCTGATGGTCGTCTTACCTGGATGGGCCCTCATGGTTGCAGTGGCTGAAGGCTCCGGTCTGTGTGAGGTACTGCTCTGGAGGTCACGGTACGGTCCTTGGAGGAGTTCGGTTGGCTCCTGAATCTCCGGAAGTCTTGCCTAGTGCCTTCTCCACGCCTGGAGTATCTGGGCCTGGTTCTGGACACTGCCGCAACCCGGGTTTTTCGGTTGCTGCCGACTCGCCGGTGGTCGCCCATTCGCTCTTTCATGTAGGTCCTGGGTCTCATGGTGGCCTCCTTCGAGGCGGTGTCCTTTGCGCAGCACCACACCAGGACCCTGCAGAGGAACATCCTGGTGCAGTGGGACAAGTCCCCCCTATCCTTGGACGGGGACTTTCAGGTGTCTCGGAAGGCGTGAGCCTCCTTGCTGTGGTGGCTTCATTCTCCGGCCTTGGTGCGGGGGAAGTCCTTCCTTCCTGTGCACTGGACGGTAGTCACCACGGGTGCCAGCCTTTGGGGCTGGGGTGGAGTCATGGGCGCCTTGACCATGCAGGGTCGTTGGAGGAGTCCCGTCTGTCGATAAATGTGTTGGAACTAAGGGCGATTCGCCTTTCTCTCCTTCATTGGTCGACCCGGCTTCAGGATCTGGCGGTTCGGGACCAGTCTGACAACGCCACCGCGGTGACGTACATCAACCACCAGGGCGGCACAAAAAGCGTGGCCACAGGTCAAGAGGTGTTCGGGATTCTCTCCTGGGCAGAGAATCGGGTTCTGGCTCTCTCGGCTGTCTACATCTCGGGGGTGGACAATTGGCAGGCCGACTACCTCAGTCGACAGTCGGTGGACCCGGGAGAGTGGTCACTGCACCCAGAAGTTTTTCAGGAGCTCTGTTTTCGCTGGGGGACGCCAGGGGTGGATCTTCTGGCGTCTCGATTCAACCGAAAGGTGGACCGGTTTGTGGCCCGGGCCCTGGATCCCTGGGTGGAGGCGGTAGATGCCCTGGTGGCTCCTCGGGGTCATTACAGTCTGATTCATGCCTTTCCTCCACTGTATCTGTTGCCTCGGCTTCTGCAACGAATCGCGGGCCGAGAATATCAACATGATCCTAGTGACCCCAGACCGGCCTCGGAGGGCGGGGTACGCGGACGTGGTTCAGCTAGTGTTGGACGCCCCATGGTGGCTGTTTCTGCGTCCAGATCTTCTGTCCCAGGGACCTGTGTTCCATCCTTCTTTACAGTCACTGGCTTTGACGGCGTGGCTGTTGAGAGCCAGGTCCTGATTGACCGGAAGTTGTCCAATGCGGTCATAGCGCGCAAATCGGTTTCTAGAAAGATTTACCATCGCACGTGGAGGGCCTATTTTGCCTGGTGTGAGGCTGGGGCCCTGTCCTCGCGTTTGTTCTCCATCAGCAGAATTCTTGCGTTATTGCAGTGCGTGGTGGCTCAAGGGCTGGCCTTGAGCACTGTAAAGGGCCAAACTTCTGCTTTGGCTGCGCTTTTCCAGCGCCATTTGGCGTCTAATGCTCTGGTTCGTACTTTTGTTCAGGGGGTGACGCGCATTGCTCCCCCTGTCCGCTTGCCTTTGGCACCATGGGATCTGAATCTGGTGCTTTCGGTGTTGCAGGAATCTCCATTTGAACCTCTTCGGGAGATTCTCCTTATGTCTTTGTCACAAAAGGTGGCCTTTTTGGTGGCCATCACTTCCGTTCAGCGGGTGTCTGTTGGCTGCCTTGTCCTGCAAGTCTCCGTTGCTGGTGTTGCATAGGGACAAGGCGGTTCTCCGTCCTCGGCCGGCTTTCCTTTCTAAGGTTGTGTCGGCATTCCATCTGAATGAGGACGTTGTCTTACCTTCCCTGTACCTGAAGCCCGTTCATAGGAAGGAACGTGCGCTCCACTGTTTGGATGTGGTTTGCGCTCTCTCTCGTGTTTATTTGGAGGCTACAGCTTCTTTCCACGTGACCGACTCCTTGTTCATGCTCACGGAGGGCCCTAGTAAGGGTCGGGCCGCATCGGCGGCTACCATCTCTCGGTAGATTTGTAATGTTATTATTCAGGCGTACGCTGTTAAGGGGCGTGGGCCTCCTTTCCCTGTCACTGCCCATTGTATTAGGGCTGTTGGGGCTTCCTGGGCCTTCTGTCATGGGGGCTCTGTTTCTCAGGTTTGTAAGGCCGCTATATGGTCTTTTGTTCACACCTTTGTTAAGTTTTAGAAGGTGGATGTTTTGGCATCGGCGGATGCTGGTTTGGGGCGCAAAGTGTTGCAGGCGGCTCTTTGAGTGGTCCTTTGGGTGTTTGGTTGTTGTTGCCCATCCCTCAGTGCGTACTGCTTGGTGACGTCCC